CTCTTCTTACTACCCAGGATACAAGCTCTAAAAGGCTGCCAGTGAAATCCAGGCCTTCATAGCCTCTTGAGAATATTTTTCCTATAAAGCTGCAAAACCGTGAGCAAATAGCCTTGTATGATAACTCAGAGGTAGACATGCAGGGGAGGTTGCTGAAAATTATTAGTCTTATGTAAGAAAGCTTGTTTCTCAGTCTGGTTTGCCTGGAAGCTGAAGCACCCGTGATGTGTCCTTCCCATTTCTCAGCCCAGCAGCAGTTGTGTTACGGACAGTTGCAGTTTGGAGCACGAGGAAGCTGTGGGAGATTTATGTAGGCTTCTTAGGCAGTTCATGGGTTGGACTTGGTGGCTGCGGTTGATCGCTCTTGGTCTGGCTTGCAGGAGGGGGCCACGTGGTCTTCTGATGAAGATGGCTGAAAATGAGAAATATGTTTTGCATAGTTTGGGGGAAGGACACAGGGGATAACATGAAGACAACACATTATTTAGGAAAGAAAAGAGACCTAGACCTTGCATGGCTAGTGGATTGTACTGGCCATTTGTTTCACCTGAAAATGCTTTCTACAACCTTGAAATCATGGTTTGGAAATGTCTACTTTGTAACAAACTAAAAAATTATGCTGGCAGATACTCAGGTTGAGTTAAGGTGATCAGCTGAGACAGTTGTAGTAGACATTTAGGTCTCAAAGGACCCTTTCAGCAGGTATCTTTAGAACATGGCTCTGTTAAACATAAGAAATTTAAGAGGTTTTAGGGAAAATTTTAAGATACTGAAGGTCCAAACGAAGTGATATTGCGCTGCTTTCCTTATCTGGGACTTCACAGCATCTTGATACCACAACATAAAAGATGTTCAGTGAGGATTGTTCCCTCTTTCAGAACTCACAGTGGTCTATAAAAGTACCAGTTAGACACGCTGTAGAACCATAAATTCCCTACTGGCCTGAAACAAAAATAACATTTTAGAAAACAAAAGAGAGATCCAGGAATTCACACTGTGCTTCACTGTGCAGGGCGGGAAGTCTCTTTCTGTCTAGGAAGGGACATATTTCTCTGACATGGCCACCTGGAGACCTCTACTAGATTATTAAAATTCCCAACAAAATAAACAGGAATTTTTAGTATGTGTATTGTCAAAATTACAGACCACAGCAATTTTGACACCTACTCCTTGTAATTTGGTTTTCCTTCAGCAGGCAGGCACTGGTCCCTGTCACACGGCAAAGCTGCAAAAGTAAACACACAGCCAAGTGTAAGCGAAGGGTTAGAAAATATGCTCAATGCAAGTAGCTCTGCTACATTATGATAATGCACATTTAAATGAAGCAAAAACTATGAAAATGCTGTCATGGTCGTATATCAGAGGTGCTCCTTAAAAGCTACAATTATTTTCTTGCATCTAGTCCTTTGAGCCAAAGACAATGCTGGACCACGGCCATGTTTAGCTGGTGAATAACATCAAAGAGTAAAAACTGGGCACTTCTTTGGGGTTGTTTGCACACCTGATCATGACATGGAGGAGATCAGAAACTCCTTTTGCATGAAAAGAAACAAGCAGAATCAAATAACTGCTGTCAAGAAAAGTTTATGGCTCACGGACTAAGCTCAGGCGCCAGACGGAGAAAGTTATTTCAGACTCCCATGGAGCACAATGTCTTTTCTCTGATTTTCTCCCATCCACAAACATGTGAATGGAAAGGAGTCTAAGCTGACTTGTACACCAAGGAGACAGGGAGATTCCCCTCTGCTCAGCATTGCTGTAGTCATTGCTGGATGGCGTAATGAAGATTTGGATCCCTGGTTCAAAGCTGTTGTGAAACTGGACAGGGTCCAGCAAGGGAAGCCTTAGGGCTCATAACCTGCAAGGGGAGGCTGGGGAGGGCTGAGGGAGCTGGGCTTGTTTGGTCTGGCAAAAGAGGCTGAGAGGTGATGTCACAGCACCCACTCCTACTTCAAGCACAATTAGAAAAATGTTGGAGCTAAACTCTTCTCAGCAGTGGCAGACAGATTTGGGGCAGTGGTTCACAGAGGATAATGCAGCTCAGAAACACATTATCCAGAGAGGCTGTGGATCTCCATCCTTGGAGGCTGAAAGCACAGCTGACTAAACCCACTGGAGATCTCACCTAGTGTGATGGTCCTACCTGGAGCAGAAGGTTTGACTCCTGATCTCCAGCAATCCCTCTGAACCAGCATGTCTATGATTCTGTGAAACCATCCTCCTGCCTGTTAAGATTTTTTTCCCTTGGATAAATTACTTTCCCCTGGCCTTGGGCACAAGTCACACCCCTTAACTCCTTACACTGTGCATCTGCATTTCAGATTCAAAGATGAGTCACATGGATACATGAAGGGCAATTACATCTCAGTTAGCACAAGAGAATCAGATACACATATGGGAGGCTTAACTGGTATAGCAGAAAATGTGTAAGGTGCTGAGAACTGTAAATAACACTAATAAACATCCTTGAGACTTGTTTGGATTCCGGTTTCTCCAGTTAATTTAGTGCTTACCATCCTTGCTGGAGAGGATTGGCGCTAACAGTTCTTTAGCTTCTGATAGCAAAAGGTCAACAAGATCTGAAGACGGAAGAGATGAATCTGAGACTGCGTCTGTTTTATCCTCTTCTGTTTCACTGTTGACTCTTATAAATATGGAAAGTGCCATCAATACTTCTATCATAGAATGGTCATTGAAAATCCTGGCCAGCCTCTCATGTAGTATGTTCTATGTAAATTCTGTGTATTCAGGAGGAATTGTATCTCAATTGCTTAACATCACAGGGGACTCTCTTTCCGACATGCTTGCATCACTGTGTTACACAGATATTGATGCATTTTTTAGAATTTCTCATAAACCTTATTCCTTCACTATATCAGCAGTAATCATATTGGAAACGTGATAATTGGATTCCATAATTCTTAAAAACTGGCTTTTTTAAAGGGGCTGGTCATATAAATGAGACTGTGACCTTTCAATTAGTTAATTAAAAACACACCAGTGTTCTGATAATAGAGTTATGATACATTTTTTTCCAAGTGGTAGGAGATAGGTTTGGGTTGAAGGGGAGTCCAGAAGCCTGAACTCTATTTCTCCAACCATTCATGCAGTTGAGAGTCATGCTAGCTCTTTGCTTACACTCTATCAGCTTCTGTAACTGCTGATAGAAAAGGACATGGTTCTAAAGCCAAAAACTGACATATGTTGGGAAAAGCAGGTGCATCAAAACTCTGCTTCTTTGAAACAACCTGCTTAGGGTCTCTGGAGACAAGAGAAACTTGAATAGAGGAGCGTTTCACCTACATATTCCCCAAAAAACCCTGAATGGAGGCCAACCCACCCAAGTACCAATCCACCAGTAGCCTCCAAATCATCTTTCTCCCATGGTTTCACTTCTAAAGTGACAGTATGTTTAGGAACTCTGGGTAGGTTATGTGTGAAATGCCTTCCTCTGAGAAAGGTCAGAAAAGGACATTTCATGTTGCTCTTCATGATTCCCAGAAGCCATCTCCTACCTTTTCACATCTGGTAAGTGACTGGATATGCTCAGGACCTTGTGGACATTCTGCCATGCAACAAAAAAAAAAAAAAAAAGGAAGGGGGGGG